ACCTTTCCACAATGGTGACGAGAGAAAGAAAGACACGATTTGTTTTAAAACATCATCATGAATGTTTTCATTGGGATCCGGTAACAGCCGTCACTCGGAGTAACCTTACAAGGTCGCCCTCAAAAGTGTCAAACCCTATTTGAAAGACAGGAGGTACTCAGCAACATGACTGACAGAAATGGCCATGACGAGATAAAGATGTTGATTCAGGCTTGTGGCTTTTCTAGAGTCAAATCATCACCTGGCGTTGAGAGTGGGATTGTTTTACAAAAGAACTGGTAAGATATTTCATCCTTAACCATTTCACGTCAATGGTAAGGCACTTTCCAGATGCCCAGGGGGCTTAGGAAAGGAATGGTTATCCACTTGCCACGTATCTGCCTCGGCCAACAAGAAATGTAAAGTAGCCACAGTCCCAGAGGACCATAGGGCTGCTCTTTCATGAGAGCGAGAGGGAGAGATGACCGGTGATGAGTTTAACCTGAGGGTCACCATGCCTCAGGCCAGGGGAAGGTTGAGAGCCTTCATGCTGACCTCAGCCAGTGAACACACGCTGTTGGTGTCACTCTGCATTGCAAACTAGCTATCCAATCAACTGAGCTAACTGACGCCCACTGACTAACGAAGAGATCTTCAGATAAGATAAAGAGCAACAGCAGCTCACACACGTGTCTTATGTTAAGGAAGTTTCCATGTCAGGTTGACTCACTCCATCCCGAAATAAAAGTGCTTCCTCTTTAATCAGTATCTGTTGAATCACCAAATCCCCTACAGTGTAGAAGCAGACCATTCATCCCATTGAGTTCACACTAACCCTTCAAAGGGCATTACAGCCAGGGCCACTCCTCTACCCCTGTAACTCCCACAGCTAATCCACCTAGCCTGTATATCTTTGGGCAATTATAGCCTGGCCAATCCACCTAACCTGTACATCTTTGGACTGTGGGAGGAAACCGGAGCACCCGGAGGAAACCCATGCAGACACAGGGAGAATATGCAAACTCCGCACACAGACAGTCACCCAAAGCTGGGATTGAACCTATGTCCCCAGCACTGTCAGGCTGCAGTGCTAACCACTGAGCCACCATGCCACCCAGGTAGAAGTGAAAAAGAAAGAGTCAACGTCTCAGTCTAAAGCAAAATACCGCAGCTGCTGGAGCTTTGAAATAAAGCTCAGGTTCTGAAACAGACTCATACTGGACTTGAAATGTTTCTATCTCCACAGATGCTATCCAGACCCACTGAGTTTCTCCAGTGTTTTCGGTTCTATTTGTGTGAGCGACTCCTGTCTCGAATGAACAGAAAGGAGGACATGTGTTTACATTTGTGATCAAACTCCAAAATATGTCAATAATAAATTCCAGTGGCTGTTGTTGCTTGGGATCCATAAGATCATAAGGCTGCTTAAAAATAAAACGGAGCATGGGTAAGCCATTGGACAGATGGGCCTGATCTGCCATTCAATATGATCATGGCTTTCTTGCATTCTCCTGATAACCCTTGATCAAGCAAGGGGTGTTCTGTATGTGGCGAATTCCCACAATCTGTAATCAGTTGAAAAGTGTGCTCATCCAATTTTGGTGACAATGGCTGAGGGAGGAATATTTCTAGGAATTTCTAACTTTTTTCCAAGAAGCAACGTACTTAGTGTACCCTAACTCCTCCTTTCGACACATGATTTTTAAATTTCCCTCAGAATTTACCTCAGAAATTATCTAGCTTACATGAGAATTCTCATTCCTCACACCATAAACTTTTCTTCCCTTCGAAGCCACTTGTCTTTAATATTGCAAAGAATGCTCATGTGATGTGGGAACACTGTTGATAATGTACAGGTAGCGTCCAGTAAATGAAATTATGTTAAAGCCACCATAGTGGGTTGCTCTCTCATTTCTTTTATTGCAAAAATATACTTTATTCATTAAAAAAAAATAAGTACATTCAGAAATTTCTCCTTCTGATCTATTCCAACGAGGGAGAAGTAACAAATTGAACCTTTGAATTTTACATCCTGTGCAGTTGCAAATAACGAAGGCACTTCTACCTCATGCAGGAAGAAAATATCCATATTTTAAAGCAATAAGTGGGGTCTGACAACTGAACAGACCTTCATTACACTTTGGAAGAAAGTCCTTAGCTGGTGGTCTTTCCCCATCGTATCTTGGTGGCTGATGTTCCAAGCTTTAGTGTGTGCTTCAGTATGTAGCCCTGGACCTTAGAATGTGCCAGTCTGTAATGCTCAGTCAAGGTCAACTCCTTGTGCTGGAAGACCAGCATGTTTTGGGCAAACCAAAGAGCATCTTTCACCGAGTTGATGGTCCTCCAGGCGCTATTGATTATTGTCTCGGTGTGTGTCAGCCCTTAGAACACAGAGTCCTGCGTTACGGAGCTGCATGTGATGATCCTCAACAAAAACCATCACATTTCTCTCCAGATTTCCTTTGCAAAGGCATATTCCAGAAGGAGATGTGTGACAGTGTCTTCACGAGCTCGGCCGCTTTGAGGGCAGCGTGCGGTGGTGCATAGAGACCGGGCATACATGGAGGATCTGACGGGCATTACTCTTCTCTCCATCAGCCAAGCTACATCTTGGACTACTCTCTCATTAGAGAGAGATGACTGGTGGTGGTTTAACCTGATGGTCACTGCATCTCATGCAACGGTAGAGGTTGAGAAGGGGAGTCCTGAATCATCAGTGTGAGAATTGAACCCATGCTTTTGGGATTACTTTTCATTGCAAACCAGCCGAACAGCTAACCAAACTAACCAATCCCCCAGGGTCTGGAATTTGAGAATGGAAGAAAAAATTGCATTAGTAATAATCCCCTTTCTGAACCCCGAAACAATCCACAACAACTTATAACCAATGAAGAACTTTAGAAGTATAGTTGCAGCATAGTGTACGAAACGCAACAGATAATTTGCACACGGTAGGCTCATCCAAATAGCAGATAATGATCAGAGTTTTTCTTCTGTGATCTTGTATGAAAAATAAAAATTGGCTAGGAAATTGAAGAGAAACCACAACTTTTCAAAGTAACACCATAGTATATTTTATTTTCTCAGTAGTGAGGGAATGCTGCGTTCATAGTTATTTGGTAGAACAAAACTTCAACATTACTCTTAAAACACAAGATATGCCAAGGCTTTTTGTCTTGGACTCATCAGAACAGTTTGCAAGACTATCTGGTTAAAAATTAAACAAAGCTTGGCAGTTTACAGTCAGTCATTGTCTAACTGGTGCATTGTCCATGGTGATAGGTTTACCAATCAAAATCCGCTTGTCAACAATCAGCACGCTATTCTCACACAGTTTAAAAAAGGTTGTTTTTTCCGTTATGCTGGCATTTCTTGCAAATTCTTCTGATGAATGCAAGACAAAAGGTTTTGACAAAATGTCTCTTTTGCGGCAAAACGCAAGTGCAATATTGTTGAAGGTGTGATCTTGGGGATGAGGCACTAAACCAAGACCCTGGCTGCCCTTTATAAGATCCTGGCTGGCATTACTTTGAGAGTAAACTGTCCTCTCTGATGTTCTTATTGCTTAATTAACTCACCGAAACGTTTGGCCTTCATTTCAATGTCTTTATGTGCGAGCTTGTTGTGTTTAACTTTACTACTGAGTTTCCTACATTACAACAGTGACTAGCACTTCAAAACTATATCAATGGTTGTAAAGTACTTTGAGACATTCTGAGGTCACAAAAGGTATGATTAAATGGTGGTCTCGCTTTCTTTGCTTCTTATATATAAATCTGCAAAAGTTGTATGCCATTAGCTGGGGAATTTCCTTTCAAGATTTGCCAGCATTTCATTCAGACTTTTTTTTATGTGTTGGAAGAAAGATATGAACAGAAGAATTCACAAGAATTAATAACAGAAATTGGGCTTCTTAATAACAGTGCTTTAGCATGGACTTGGGAAATATATATTAGCAGCACAGCAGAATCCCAGGCTTATTGCTTTGTAAATCAGGTTTTTAGTATTAGCGCTAAGTTTTTGTTCGAGATTATTAGTTTCAGATGTTTAGATTCACTGTGCTTTCTCTTAATAAAGGGGATTTTGCAGATTTGAGACAGGAATGCCTGCTCAGAAGCTGAGGAAGAAAATCCTCATGATTGGGATCCACTTTTATACAAACGTATCATCATTAAAAACTTATTTTGGGAGCTGACCCAAGGATTGGGTCACCAATTCACACCCATCTTTATACCTCTTTTTCTTTTTCACCACCATCAACGACCCTTTTGTCTTTTGCACCAGGCCTCTCTGCTATCGGCTGCTTGCTCCTAACACAGAAAGATAGAAAGTAGGACTAGGAGGAGGCCATTCTGCCCCTCGAGCCTGCTCCACCATTCAATACGATCGTGGCTGATCATCCAACTCAAGATGTGGAGGTGTCAGTGTTGGACTGGGTGGACAAGGTCAGAAGTCACACGCTGCTCTGAAAGCTTGTGATTTCAAGTAAACCTGTTGGACTCTAACCTGGGTGCTATGTGACTTTTGACCTCATCCAACTCAGGACCCTGTTCCCGCATTCACCTCAAACCCTTTCACCCCCTTTGCGCGCCTCCACCTCTGTCAGAAGTATATTAAAAGAACATTTTCTGACACCTTTTAGTTCTAAAGAAGCATCATACCGAACTTGAAACTTTGTTTCTCTATCCACCGATGCTGCCGGACCTGCTGAGTTTCTCCAGCAATCTCTGCGTTTGTTTCAGATTTCCAGCATTGGTAGTATTTAGCTTTTATTATACCTAAGGTGTTTCAATGGGTCCATTTCCAGTTGAGTGTATCCTCCTGTGGTGTCTCCATAGTGTTTCATTAATTATCCTCCCAGTCTAATGGGATCAGTAGACATTGTATGAGTGGGCCAGTTGCCAAACCTCAATGGAAGGCATAGTGATACGCTCTGGCTTCCTGTGGACCTAACCACAATAGATCAAAGAGCTGGCAACGAATGGTGGGTTGACTCAACATTATTGCTTTCTTTGCTTCAGATCTCTTGGCAGCCAATCGATCAGTCATGTTCTTTGGTCATCGTGGTTTCCTGGATTTCCGCTCGATGTTCCTCGATGAGTACCACGACCGCCTTTTCATTGGAGCCAAAGATACCTTGTACTCCCTCCAGCTGGACCAGGCAAACATTGGTGCCCGAGAGGTAACTCACTTTCTCACTTTCTCACTTTGTTGCCTGGCATTCATGTCACTCCAGAACAGAGTAGGACGAGGAGCTGGGGGGAGGAGGTGCGAAGGGTTTGGACACAAGAGGAACTTAAGCTTAGAATTAGAACCAAACCCATCTAACAGAAAATCCAGGAAGCACTTTTTTCAAGGGAATAACATTTGGAAATGTGAAATTTTAAAGATTTTGGGTGGTGAAATAGTCAGAATGATTGAAACACTCCATAAATATAATGTAGGATTAGAAGAGAGAATACAGTGACAAAAATAAGTGTCTTGGGAGATGAAGTAAAGGCAGGTTGACCCAGGAAACATGACTCAAGGAGACTCTAGGAAGAGCTAATTGAGGTGGATTACATTGTATGGGGTCCCTTTATGGGAGCAAAGGGGTGAAAACCAGGGGGCATAGACTTATTGTGGTTGGTGGAAGGGTTAGAGGGGTGATCAGGAAACTTTCTTTTACTTAGATGGTGGTGATGACCAGGAAGTAATCATTAAAAAAAGGTGGAAGACACAGAAACACTCAACCTGTTTAAAAAAGTCATAGTCATACAGCACAGAAATAGATCCATCAGTCCAAATTGGCCATGTTGACCAGGTTTCCCAATCCAGCCATATCCCTCTAAACCTTTCCTATTCATGTGCCTGTCCAAATATTTTTTAAATGTTATAACTGTACCAGCATCTATCACTTCCTAAGGCAGTTTATTCCACACACAAACCACACTCTGTGTGAAAAGGTTGGCCCTCAGGTCCCTTTTAATTCTTTCTCCTCTCACCTTACAGTCATGCTGTCTAGTTTTGAACTCCCCTACCCCAGGGAAAAGGCATTTGCTATTCATCTTATCTGTGCCCCTCATGATTTTATAAACCTCTATAAGGCCATCCCTCAACCTCCTATGCTCCAGTGGAAAAAGTCCCAGCCTTTCCAGCCTCTCCTTGTAACTCAAACCTTCCAGACCTGGTAACGTCTTTGTAAATCTTTTCTGCACCCTCTCCAATTTAATGATATCCTTCCTATAGCGGGTTGACCAGAATTGTGAACTGTACTCCAAAAGTTGCCTCACCAACATCCTGTACAGACACAACATGATGTCCCAACTCCTATACTCAAACTTTTGACCAATGAAGCCAAGTGTACAAAATGCCATTTTCATTCTGTCTACCTGCAATGTCACTTTGAAGGAACTATGCTCCAGAACCCTTAGGTTTCTCAGTTTGACAACACTCCATAGGGCCCTACCATTAATTGTGTTTGTCCTGCCCTGGTTTGCCTTACCGAAATGCAACACCTCACATTTATCTAAATTAAATTCCAGATCTGCTTGAGGAGCTATGATCACAGGGTTATGGACAAAGTTCAGGAAAGTAAGATCAGGCTGGGTAGCACTTTGTCAACTGGCACAGATACAATGGGCCAAATGGCCTCTTTCTGTTGATAAATTCTGACTAATTCTTTTGAGCAATTCCTTTGCTTCAGGATGGTAGTACCTGAGCTACCCAGAAGAATGGAAAGAGAATCAAGAAATTAAGACAAGGTGATGGGGTTTGTCAGTTCATAGAATGGAGTTGGCGAGGATACCTGAGCTAGGGAGGATCACTAGGATGATTTGGTGGCTGCTGTCTCAATATCAACAGGAGACAGAGTGTGGAATGATTTATTTGCTGTTTAAGAAGGAGTGACAAACAATTATAAAAAGAAAATAATTTACATTTACATCATGCTTTGACATCCCAAAGCTGCAATGTCAAGTCCCTGTTGTTATAAAACAAACACATAACTAATTCCTACACACAAGTGTCTCAAAACAAAAAGGAGATATGGAAACTAATTAACCTTTTGTGATGATCTCTGTTGAGGGAGTACTTGGCCAGTGGGAGAATCAGCCTGCAGAACCTCAGGAGAAAGAGTTAGCATATTCCTTTTATATTTTTGAATTTGTTTTGTTTTGAAAGTTATTTTCTTTACGAGTTTGGGAATGTGCAGTGTTTTGGTTTACAGGACGTGATATTTTAATGGTCATGACTGTGGATCAGAACCCCGAGTACTGGACATATTTTTAACTTGTAATTCCAAAATGTATTTTTAAAAAAATATTTGAGATAGCCTAACGTGACTGTCGATGTAAATTAAGTAGTTATCTTGACAGGAAGACCTAAGGAATGTCACACCTAGAGATGTGAAGAGAAGCTCAAACAACAGCTCTTCAAAGGGGGAAAGAGCTAAGCCAAGATACTGTGGATTGAGATCTGTCATGACTACAAAGATAACAAGACTGATGAACCCCTGCCCAACGGCAAGCTACCTCCTTAGACTTCTGTATCAAACTGCAGACACTCTTGTGTTTTTCACTTTGAAGAATGTACAGGACAGGGGTTTAAAGACCAGTTTCAAATCTACTGGAGTAGGTTCATGAGACTGAATGCCATCACACAAAGAACAAGAACAAAGTACAGGCCCTTCAGCCCTCCAAGCCTGTGCCAATCATCACGCCCCAACTAATCTAAAAAACAAACCTTCTGCCCCTATTCAGTCTGTATCCAACTATTCCCTCCCTATTCATGTAATCATCCAGATGCTTCTTAAATGTCGCCAACGTGCCCACTTCCACCACCTCTTCTGGCAGTGCATTCCAGGCTCCTACTACTTCCCTTGCACATCTCCCTTAAACTTTCCCCCTCTCACCTTGAACCTGAGCCCCCTTGTAATTGAAACTTCAACCCTGGGAAAAAGCTTCTGACTATCCAATCTATCTATGCCTCTCATAATTTTGTAGACCTCTATCAGGTCTCCTCTCAGCCGCCGTCTTTCCAGTGAAAACAATCCTAGTCATTTTAACCTTTCTTCATAGTCAATGCCCTTGAGACCAAGCAACATCCTGGTGAACCTTCTCTGCACTCTCTCCAAAGCTTCCATGTCCTTCTGGTAATGTGACACCCAAACTGCACACAATACTCCAAAAGTGGCCTGACAAGGGTTTTATATAGCTGCAACACGGTTTGCCAACTCTTATACTCCATGCCCCGGCCAATGAAGGCAAACATGCCACGTGCCTTCTCAATCACTTTGACCATCTATGTTGCCACTTTTAGAGAACTGTGGACCTGCATGCCCAGATCAGTCTGAATGTTAATGTTCCTAAGGGGGGTCTGCCATTTACAATATAATTCACACCTAAATTTGATCCTCCAAAATGCATCACTTCATAGTTGTCTGGATTAATCTCCATCTGCCATTTCTGTCCCCAAGTCACCAATCTATTCGTATCCTGTTGTATCCTCTCACAATCATCAGTATGATCAGCAACTTCACCAATCTTCGTGTCATCTGCAAACTTGCTAATCAGACCACCCACATTTTTGTCCAGATCATTTATATATACTACAAGCAACAGAGGACCTCAGATTGTTCCCTGTGGAACACCAATAGTTACCGGCCTTCATTCTGAAAAACATCCTTCTACCGCTACCCTCTGTCTTCTATGACCAAACCAGTTTTGTATCCATACAGCCAGCCCAGCGCGAATCCCATGAGATTTTAGTTTTTGTACCCATCTATCATGTGGGACTTTATCAAATGCCTTACTAAAGTCCATATAAACTACATCCACAGCCTTCCCTCATCAATTATCTTTGTCACCTCTTCAAAAAATTCAATCAAGTTGATGAGACATGACCTTCCCCATGCAAAACCATGCTGCTTGTCCCTATCTGTCCAAATGTGCATATATCTTGTCCTTCAGTATCTTCTCCAAGAGTTTTCCCACTACAGACATCAGGCTCACCAGCCTATAATTTCCTGGATTATCCCTGCTTCCTTAAACAAGGGAACAACTTTGGCTTATCTCCAGACCTCTGGAACTTCACCTGTAGTCAAAGAGGATGTGAAGATATCTGCTAATGCCCTATTTATTTCTTCCCTTGTTCTCATAGAAACCAGGGATAGATCCCATCTGGTTCTGGGGACTTGTCTACCTTAATGCAATTTAGGATACCCAAAACTTCCTCCATCAATATATTGACATTCTCTGGAGTATTCGCACACTCATCCCTGACCTCAGCATCAGTCATGTCCCTCTTCTTGGTGAATACCGATACAAAGTACTCATTAAGGATCTCTCCCACTTCCTGTGGCTCTACATATAACTTCCCTCCTTCGTCCTTGAGGGGACCTACTCTTTCCCTTGCTGGCCTTTTTCTTCTAATATATGCATAGAAAGCCTTGGGATTCCCCTTGACCCTGTTTGCTATAGACATTTCATGACCCCTTTTAGCCTTTCTAATTCTGCGTTTAAATTCCTTCCTAATTTCTCGATACTCCTCAAGGGCTTCATCAATTTGTTGCTACCTAGACCTATTGTATGCTTCCTTTCTCCATCAGGTGTACTAGACTGGGTTTAAGTATTAATGTGCTCTGAAAGTCACAATCAAAGAACAATCCCCGAGTCACCCCTGCATTGCAGGTAAAGATACTCTAAGAGCTGCAAGTTAGCTCAGTAAAAGAAAAATAGAAACAGGACAACAAAAGGCTTCTCTCCCACCCTGATTGCTGGAATTCATTCATAGTCCAAAGGAATCTGAACTACAGAATCCCAACTGATTTGCAAGGTGAGGGCCATGAACCTGACTGTTCAACTACCGATGTCATCGCATAACCCCCCACTTCAACAGCCACAACATTTAACTATCAGCTCTTCATGAACAAAACCTACTTTCTTATCTCTTCATTCTTTCTGAAAAAAAGAGTCATACTTGACTGGAATTGTTAACTCTGTTTCTTTCTCCGCAACGTTACCAGACCTGCTGAGTTTCTCCAGCACTTCCTCCAATATTGTTTTCTCATTTAAGAAAGGAAGCAGGGGTAATCCAGGAAATTATAGGCCACTGATCCTGACATCTGTGGTGGGGAAACTCTTGGAGAAGATACTGAGGGACAAGATATATGCACATTTGGAAGAAATTGGACGAGTTAGTGAC